GAAAAAAGTTTTAAAAAAAAATCAAAAGAAAAACAGGAAAAGAAATTGTTCTTAGTTTTAAAAAATAACTTTAATCTTGAGAATCAGGGTATTCTATAGTTATCTGTTTTACCGTAATAGAAAAAAGTGACAATAAAAAAAAATAAAGTCTATTAGAAATGTTGCATTAAAAGGCTTTGCATTAGTTAAAAAATTAGTATTGAAACTCTCATGGTTCAGTATAAAGTTTCAATTCGTTTTCCATATGTCTTTCAGGACATAAATTAATAAGTTTTAGAGCTTAACAAATATGTGTGAAAACTATTTTTAATAACGTGTAGTAAAAAATATGATTTTAGATTATTCTTTACAAAATCTATTAAAATTTCCCACAAAAAGTTTTGTTGAGAGATAATTTTCCAAATAATACTTTCCCGAATATGCGGCCAAATAATGGAGAAATATTTGTTACATCCCCAATTACCACCTGTGTAGTGTTGGTGGAAATTTTTTTTTTACATGAAATAATTTTTCTTTCTTTAAATTTTATAATTGTTACTTTTGTACACGAAAAGGAATTCTATTTATCTCCTATGTACAAAGCACATCCCCCTCCCCTAAAAAAACTACACATTAAAAAGAAAAATTTCAGATAATTTCTTACAGCAATCATGTCTATTAAACAGAAATTCTACCATGTAATATTTATGGGTGCACAACCTTTGTGAGTGAAAGGCCACATGCGCAGCAGATTGACCAACGAAGGGCCGCATACCAAAGTATTTACACAGACATGTTCAAGGCACTAAATTCTTTTGATCAGCTAATCTTGTAATATGTTTGCATAAAAGTAAATACTTTTAAATGCTGAAAATTAGAAACTGCCTAACTGATTCTTCTAAAATAAAACAGTATCCGAAAATCTGTAAGAAAAAAAATTCAGATAAACTGTAAAAATTCATGTTTTTTTTAATGACATTACATCAAAAGTCCATTTAAACATAAATTTTAAAATTAAAAAATTTGTTCTCAGAATTGAATTTAAAAAAATAAATATTCTAGTTATTAAAATAAATTTAATAATTTAATTGATTTAAAGAAAGTTTATAGGGTTAAATATGATTAAAATTAAAACAAAACCCTGTCAGATTTAACAAGGAATATACTTCAACTTTAAAACATTTATTTTAAATAAATTATGAGAGGCAGGGGCTGAGAGAGGAAAGAAAAAGAAATTTCAAAGGTCCCACACCTGTGCCAACTTGTGGTAGGTTAAAAAAGTTGATACAAACTTATTATTTTTGTGCTAAAACACAAATGCTACTTCTGTATGAAATTTGAAAAAATAAGCTCTGATTTTCAAATCATGAGAATTTTTCTTTTTGGTGCACGTGATATAAGGATGCCAAGTTCGACATGCTTACAATCTAGCATGCGACTTTTCCTCTAATTTGAGGAATTCCACGAATCTCAAGAATGTATCTTTAACCTTGATAGCACAGGACTCAAATAAAATTAAGTAACGGCCTTGGCTAAAACAGAAGCAAAATTGATAATCCAAAAAGTTATTTCGAACTCTTAAAGAATGTTTATTCTTCAACTTGTGTGTTGTTTTTTTTATAAAAAAAAACTTATCACTTAATTTAGATTGACTAAGAGTGATTATTTTGTTAAGAAATTCAGATTATTGCTGAAACAATTATTTAATTAATATTATTATAATATATTTGTCCTCTTTTATTTATCCGTAGTGAAATCGAATAAATATTTAAAATGATGTTAAGATGCGGAAATTTCACATTTAAGTAATCACTGTTTTCCACAAGCTAAATCTGTGTGGAGTTTAAATAATAGTTTTGAGTGATTTAATCATGGTTTTTAAAATTCAGATACTGTTATGGCATACGAAATTCCACTTGAATTACCACATTTTGATGTGCTGGATTGTGAATAGTATTATAATAAATCGATGGGACATTTCTTTCGCTTTATTGGCATTTGTTGCTGCTTATTTTCTAAGATATTTTAAAATCTCTTTATTTTTCATACACTATTATTACAAAATGCAGAATTCAAGTTGCGCATATAATTAGTTATCTTTTGACTTGATGTGACGACACCTTTTTCTTGGTTGACTTTTCGCAATTCTGATTTCTAGGTGGATTTTAAACTCCCAATATTTTTTATACAATTCCATTAGGGCATGTGATATTTGAATCACTTTTTGATGCACTTGATTTTAAAATGTTTTTTTTTGTTGTTAAAATCCTGATATAACTGGAGTATTTATTGTTTTACACAATGATTCAATTATTTTTTGATTGATTTCATAGAATTTGTTCATTTCAAAAATTATTTTATCTTTTAATTTAATTATTTATCTGTAAAACATAAAAAATTAGAGATAACTTTCAGGACTTGACTAATAACTAATTTTTTGAAAAGTTATCTAGAGTAAACCTTATAAAGGGGGAAAATAGTAAATATTTCTTTCTTTGATGTTTCAATTTCTATAAATATACTTAAAAATTATTAACTACTTTAAGTCTTCTCTATTTTAGAACTTTTTCAAGTAAAATTCAATTCTTTTTTCTTTTCTTTTTAAGTTTTAAGACTCAGTTTCTTCACGTATATATTGTAAAACTAAACATATTCATATAGTTCATGTTATGTGTCCAACTTGCATAGATTATGCTTATAGATTTTTTTATTGCATAGATTAGATAAATGTTAAGAGTTTTGTGTCTACATTTTACTCAGAAGGTTAGATATTTACCACACATGCAATTTCTTTTGCATAATTTATTTTTTTAACTAGCTTTATTTACTTCTTAATGTATAAAATGTGAAAATAGAATTATTATACAGTTCAAGCAATCACTACTGTTTGTCTACGCTAGGTACTCTAACAGACATTCGTCCGGAGGTGTGGCGGTGACTATGGTAACGAGTTATGATTATTTCAAGTAGGGGTGCGGGTCCCTCTTTAAGACTGGTTTCGGCGAGAGAAAATGAGACCTCTTTCTTCGGTCTATTATGTTAGCTCTAAAGTGAAGAGAAATAAGTATTTGCTTCTGAAACATCGTTTAGATCGTTCGATTTTCTCTTTTTTAAAAGAGTCAAAATTTTAATAGCGATTGCACCCAAAATTTGATATCATAATTTTTACATTTTTTGTTGTTTTTTAAAAAGTATATATTATACAAAACAATAGCCCAAAACGATTTTCTTTATTTAATTTATTTTACAAGATATTAACAATTAAATTTTAAAGCTCTTCTTAATTAAGAAATAAATATCTAAGGATAGAATAAATGGATTTTTAAAAAATGTATCTCATTTTGCGCGGAAATAATTGAAGTTTTTGATAAAATAATTATAATAAAACAAATGTTTACAAAATGTAATTTTTATTGCAAAATTAAGTTGTAAAATGAGAAACAAAAATGTTGTTAATGTCGTACAAAGTTCAAACAAACCCCATTTTAAAGTAAATTTTATTCTGAACAAAATGGCTTTTCAAAATAAATGGATCCATAAGCAAATTCCATAAAAAGTTATAGCTTTTTTCGCAAAACGCTGCACCGTGGCGCACTCTGCCACTCCACTCCGCTGATCTCTCAATCACGCTGTATCAGTTGATTTGGAGGGAATTTAAATACCTCAACTAAAGTTTCACAAAATAGCAAACATTGTATTAAATAATAAATTTATAATTTTAGGTGAATAATATTATGAATAATTAGTTATTTTTAATGTATTTACATAATTTTTTGAGTTCAAACTTGGAACTAGAAGAATATATTTTATTTATAACTATTTTATCAAAAATTTCAATTACTTCTGCGTAGAATGAGATAAAATTTTTTAAACCATTGATTCTATCCTTAGATATTTTTTAATTAAAAAGAGCTTTAAAATTTAGTTGTTAACATCTTGTAAAATAAATTAAATTTAAAAAAAAATCGTTTTGGGCTATTGTTTTGTATAATATATACTTTTCAAAAAATGTAAAAATTATGATATCAAATTTTGGGTGTAATCGCTATTAAAATGTTGATTCAATGACAAATTAAAATTGTTATTTCTATGTAATGATTGATAAATAGGATGTGTATGGAAATTGTATAAAATTGTTTAAAGCAAGCTCAATGTTTTATTAATAAATAACTCATCTATAAATTTATCATACATAGCAAATTGGTTATTAAGAAGAAAAAAAATAAAAATTTGCTAATAAAAAACTGTTGGAATTATTTTTTTTAATAAATAGTGAGAAAAACTATACAGGTTACATTAAAATACGAGTAAGAAAACGTAATTTAAGCAACAAAAAAAATCTTTCAGATGGTTTGATGGGTGTTGATAAAAATCATCGTTGATAGTTTTAGATTTCATCCTATTTGCGGTAACTTGCTTTCAGTTTAAAAAAAAGTAAAAAATAAATAATAAAAATGAAGCTATTTAATATTTTTTCGCACAGATAACGTGAACTATTTCTATTTTCAGCAAAAGTTTTATCTCCTTTTAAAATCAGAGTTAATAAGTTTAAGCACTTCACTTTTTCCAGAAAACTCAATAAAAGAAATTAACTGCTTTAAAAAATGTGCAAGTTTAGAAATTAAACCATCTAATAATCAATGAACATTCATAATAAATAAAATTAAACTTTTTTTCTTCTTTTTTTTTCCATTTGTATATAAAAAATAGCAAACGATTGAGTAAAGAGAATCTTTTTAAGTAAGAAAGAAATTAAATATCCATGCGAATCTTTAAAAAAGTTATTGAATCAGATTAAATAAGTCTCCTACTGGTGGCTGAGGCAGCCAATCTGGTATACTTCCCATACAAGCTATCATCAAAGCTACCCTCCCTAAAATGCCCTCTTGTTTCCACAGCACCAGAATGTCGCAGACTTTGTGTCGGTCAGAGTACCTATCGTAGACAAACAGTAGTTTTCCTTGCATGATTTAGATATGATGCATTTAATTGTTATGAATTAGAATAAAATTTTATTTTAGATCCTGATGCTCCAAGTCGTGCGACTCCTAAGTATAGGGAATGGCATCATTGGTTGGTTGTAAACATTCCTGGTACAGAAGTTGAGCGTGGAGATGTACTTTCAGAGTATGTTGGCTCTGGACCTCCTAGTGGAACTGGTTTGTATTCATGCTACAACAAATACCTTGTCTCCACCTTTAACTATTACTATCATGAAAATTCTTCTTGGCACCAAAATCTCACTCTCATTGTTACTGTGGTAGTAATTTCAATTAGTAGTATAGGGTTAGTTTAAGAAGCAAGGTGATACAGGAAAAGTCATGTGATTTTTTTTTATTTTATTATTATTATTATTTTTTTCCAGTTTTTCCTTCCTATTCTGGTTCACATTTGACAATTTTTGTTTCTATATCCATTTTGAATAACACTTGACTTAATAGGCTCTTTTTATAGATTTAGTTAGAATTTTTTTAGGTAGAACTTCACGCTCATGCCCAATATTCATCATTTGAGTATTTTTTTACAAGTGATTCATGGAACTATTTAACAATTTTTGTTTTTTAAAAAAAATACTCAAAAGATGAATATTGTGTGTGATTTCTTTTTATATTTGGTACTTGTAAGTTTTTGAAGTATAAGTTTTGTTTTGATACTGCATAAACATTATTTTGGTGATATTGCTTTTCCCTTTAGTTAGGTGCTTGATCTAAAGAATAGATGTAAAATGTGCAGTTGCTTAAAAACTTAAAGTTAAATGTAAAAGGCAGCAATGTCAATGTATTCTGATGTTCTTACTCTGTCAATATACGAAAAGGAAAAATGTTTTATTCGTTTATTTGAAAATTAGTTTGGTTTTATTCTGTCTTCCTCCCCCCATAACCCAAATGGAAACTTACGTGTTCCAGGGACAGCATCTCCTTTTTTTCCATGCCCCACCTATGATTTTTGGCGTGCTTAGCGGTGGGCAGCCACTAGGTGTGCCAGAATTTAGTTTGAAAATTCATAGTTATATTGCAAGTTTTTCTTTTTCCCCCTCGCTTGCCACATTGAGGAAATTTCTTCGAATCTTTATAAACGACGTTCCTAGTAAGACTGAATGATGTTTAGATTTTGGCAACACAATGTATCATCACTCTAAAATAACTATCTTTCCATAGATTGCAATGTTTCGTTACATTAATGTTTTACATTCGGTATTGCATAATTTTCGTACTTTTTGATTGATTGATTTAAGCAATTATATTTTTGTAACTAACTCAATCCTCAGTTACTTATCAAAAGTTATCCTGACATAAGTTGTGTTATTTTGAATTAGTTTTTTTTGTTGCTTTTGCTGGTTTCTTTTTGCATTTCCTGAGGGTTCCACACTTAAGAGTTTTTTACATTCTTTAGAAACGTGAATGTCTCCAGTTTTTGCATTATCCAAATGGCGGCAGTAATTGCATCCGAATTTACCTTTAACACCTATATAATTTAACAGCTATATATCTATATATTCCCTTATATTTTTCGATGAAATATTTAAATTACTAGTGTCCCAAGGAAATGTTAGTATTGTTTTCCTGATTGGTACTTAGTGTTTCTTCTGTTTTCTTGTAATGTTCTTTTTCTTGTTTGGTTGTTTCTGCAATCAATTTAGAATTTGTTTTATATTTTTTAGAAAAATAATCCACTAAATTTGTGTTTTCGTTTTTAATTAAGTAAAAATTAATTACTACAATGATTGATTTGCATTAAATGTTCCAAAATAGTAAAAATCCACAATACACTTTTCCTGCAAAATATGAATTGAACTCCTGCCAAAATTTATTGTTTTGAATCAGTTGTGAGGAAATTTTAAAAACTGGTGCATGAAATTTGAGAAATTCTAAGAAAGGGTACATGCATGCCGGTTGATTACCATCACTGGCACTTCAATATCTAAGCTATGTTTCTTTTTACCTTTGATGTGTTTATTTTTAAAAAAATTTTTCCCTCCTTCAGATGGTTGTGCATGTGCTTATTTTGTGATATTTTGATAAATTACAATAAGATCATACATTTTTAAATATTAATTCAGGTCTAAAGTTTTGATTAAAAAAATAATGAACAATTTGGGTAGAAAAAAACAGGGGTCAAAATCTTCCTATAAATCCAATATTTTCTGTATAATTTTTCTACACAGTGAAATCATCGCCCTATTGCGTTCTTTGGATAGTTAGAGATATCAAATTCCCTGGTTATTTAGCTGGGTAAACTCCCAAAATTCAACAGTTTTTTTTTTTTTTTGAGTTTACAACATTAGGTTTTGCTTACAACTCGGGAGTTAATTTATTAAATTGAACATGTAAGTGATTGAAATCATAGTTTTGTTTCCTTTATTTGTGAGTGCTTCTGGTTCTGGCTTCCCCCTTAAATTCACATTTCTATTCACCATCCCCAACAAGTGCAAAAATTTATTCGGCTTTTAAGTAATTCATTTTAAGAAGTTTATCTTGCGTTTCAATATTACATAATTCTTTCTCTGATCCAATCTCAGATTTGTTAAATATTATGAGTGTAGGGACCATATAATAATTAACTTTTGACAATGTGTAGCTTCAATACTCATTGTATTTACATTTCAAAATTATTGAAATTTTTTAAATAATTTTATTAAAGAAATACTGAACCAAGTAACAACTTTTAAAGGGATTATTCACTAATTTGCATTAATACTATGAATTTAAAGTTTTCTTAGTTGCTTAATGTTTTGTTAAATAAGCTTTTATAAATAACTTGCATTTAATTCTTAAAAAACACTAACTTTTTTAAATGATAGAACTAATTGAAATAATTTTTTATATATTTAAAATTGTGAATAAATTGTTTTTATGGTGGTTAATATAATCAAGAAAAAGAGTTCTTTATCAGAAACTGGAAGGTGGCTACTAAAATACTGTAACACTTTCTATAAGCTCAGAAGATTTTTGTTTAAAGCAAAATATTTAGAATCCGCTTAAAGATGAAATCCAAAATGTTCTACTAATAAAATGGCTGCAGAAAAAAACTTATATTAAATGAAGACTTGGGTTTTCACCCTTATCGCAAAAGAAAAGTTCAAGGTTTTTCAACTGCTCAAAAATTAAAAGGGTAACAAAGATGTAAAAAATTGCATGACTGGCACTGTCGAAAAAGTGATGAAAGAATAATATTTTCCGGTAAGAAAATATTTTGCACAGAACGAAGTTATAATGCTAAAAGTAATGTTGTATATTCAGCAACGAAAGTATTCTAACTGTACAACGCTTTCAAAAAGAGAATTCTATAGTAGTTTGGCCTGCTGTGTCAAATAACAAAAACATTTCCTTTAAAATTCATTAAGGAAGGAATAAAATTCTATGCTAAATATTACAAATAGAAAATATTGGCTACACATTTATTGCCACATGCTGAAAGATTTTATCCAAAAATATTGACTGGATATTTCATCAATATTCTGCACCATTGCACTGAACCAAAACAACACAGGCGGGGCCCCATGTCAATTGCCCGAAGTTTATCAAGCAAGAAGATTGGCGCCCTTCTTCACCGGATTTAAATCCTTTAGACTATTGTGTTTGGGAGATTCTAGAGTTTAAAGTTAATGCTAAGCAGCACAGAAGTTTGGACTCTCTCAAAGCTTCTTTATTGCATGAATGTGACAAATTTCTTCTTAAAATGATTTGTGCCATCGGGCAATGTCGTCAGAGATTATCTTTAGTAATCGATAAAGAGGGTAGTCGATTGGAATAAAATCTTTTTAAGATAAACTTCCATTTGTAGTGTTTTACGTATAGTATTTATCATTTTCTATATTGTATCAGTACAATAAAATTATTCAATATTTTTTAGCCACCACCCTGTATTTAATTCATCATGATCATGTAAAGTTTGAAAATTATTTTGCATTTTGTTGCTTTGTATATGCATTAACTTTTAACGAATGGAGGAAGAAAAAAAATTTATTACTGCGCATATCCTAATATTTTTTTTTAATGTGCTTATTTTTTTAAATTTATTTATTTTTTTGAAAATTTGGCTATGCATCCTGAAGCCTAATTTTTAGCATTTTCTTTTTCAGTGAAATGAGAGGATAAGTTATATGATTTTGTCACCTTTTAGCTACATTTTAAAATTTTCTAGCTTGAAATAATCATAAATTAACATAAAAAGATGATTGCAGTGCACATGCATTGCTCGATCTCCATACCGTGCAGTCTGAAACAGAAGAGACCAAAATTTAACAATTATGTATGAGCTTGGTTATGGTTAGAACCAAAAATTGTAGAAAAATGTCTTTCAAAAAATTGTGGCCATTTAAATAATAGGCTAACAAAAGCGATTTCTTGGCATTTAAACCTGCATAATAAAATCCGATTTTTAGAAAATATTACTTTCTTTGCTTTTTTACCAATTCTTTACAAATTTCCAAAGCGACATGACATCAAAATCAATCTAGTAGTTTTCGAAGTAGTAATCAAACGGTCAACCATAAATACATGGTTTATGGGAAATCATATATTAAATGTTAAAACGTTTTTCTTCGGTCTTTTGAGACCTACCAACATTGGGTGACTCCTGCCTCAATTTCATGCATTCTGTTGGCGTGCATTGCTTCATACTGGGCAGCAAATCTTTGCAGATGGTACTCCAGCAGCGCCTCAAGCTTTCTAGGCAATCTGTGTTGCACCTTCTGCAGAACCCGAATACTGTGTAGTCAATTCAAATAAGCATGAGTTCTAAGGGTTATTAGACATATGCTAGCTTGAATGTTTCAATCATTTTGCATGTGAAGTGCATGCATAACTATGAAATAGTGCTAGATAGAATTGGCATTCATGAAGTTTATTTACCTTAATTTTTGAAATAAATGAACATTTCATAAATAGAATTTTAACTTAAATATAAACAGTTCGGGTACATATATTTGTAGTTTTTCTTATTATAATTTAACTGTATTGACGAAACTTATCTCTAAAAGCTCATGAGGTGTTTCATATTACACCATTACAAGATGTATTTTAATTTGAAATCGCAAGATATTTTAATTTAAGGAAATTTAATTAAAAGCTAATGCATTAACTCGAAATAATTTAGCTATGCAGGTAAATGCTGAAATGTTTTCATAAAGCATTGATATATACAAAAACATCCTAAAGTAAGACCATTTGTGAATATTTGTCTTAATAATAAATGTTAAAAAGCAAAAGAAACATGGTAAAAGTGTTTAAAGTTTCTTCTACTGGCTGCGAAGCAAACATCACATCTATTACTTCTGCGAAATGACGATTCCGTACTAGAACAAGCAAGACTTTCGCGCACCGCCAGATACCCGGCATTGCTATAAGATTTCCAGTGGGCAGAATGCGTGCACCCCTCTTAAAAGTTTAACTGAGATGTCCAGTATATATGTATTTTTAAATTTTAGTCTGGAAATTTTAGTGTAGTGGCCAGAAAGTGGCCATTTTGAACAGTTTAAATCAATTTAAAAAAATAGTTAAGTTATTGATTTTAACAATTTGACTTCAGTAGTTGATATTAGGGTATGTAACTTCATAAAGTTTTTTATCGATTCTTTTTAGGTTTGCATCGATATGTATATTTGATTTATAAGCAACCAGGTAAGTTAAATTGTGATGAAAGACGTTTGACTAATAGAAGTGGTGACCATCGTGGTTGTTTCAAGATCAAGAATTTTGCTAAGAAATACAACTTAGGTGACCCAGTTGCTGGAAATTTTTACCAAGCTCAATGGGATGATTATGTTCCTAAATTATATGAGCAGCTTGCTGGTTAAAAAGAATTATGAACTATGAGTGAAGAAAAGAGCCTTATATTGTTATACCCTGTGTTGTATTCAATTATATTAACTGGTGCATTTCTTGTATCAATGAATACCTGGCTGTGAATTATGTGTCCAATAAATTTCTTACAATATGCTAATGCTTTGAATTTCCTTTTATTTTAATTTCTTTAAAAAAAAGAAAATATGAAGAAAAATGCATTTTTATTATTTCAACTAAAAAAAAATGCTGTTAAAATAATTTTTAATTACAGGATTTTTTTTTTTTCGAAATCAATTATGATTTTAAAGATTAAGCAGACGTGCCAACTCTCCCGCATTTT